TATTACTTTTTACTAAAAAACACTATGTGTATATGAGAAGAAAGAAGCAAAGATGAGAAGTGAATTCAAATATCAGCTAATTAACTAGAAGAGATTGTGAAAGAGTCATTCTCAAAGTATCTAAATGCACATTACAATGATACTTTTGATGTCAAAAAGAGATCTCCAAAAAATGATCAAAACATCGATCGTATGATAGATATTGAAGTGAATAAATTATCAGGGTAAAATAGAACAAGAACTTAATATTGTTTTTATTTTGATGATGACTGTATAAATAGTTATCCTCTTCTTGACATCCAAAATGTGATTATAATGAGGTTAGATAACTGAAGAGTGATTTCTGAGCTCATTTCTCATCTTTCTCCTTACATGCGCATGATGTTTTCCGATAGAAAGTAATATAAAGAGAATCTACCTAGATATGCTTCAATATTAAAATTGAAACAATATATTTGAAAAAAATTACACTTACCTATAACAAATATTAGCATGACATTAATGCTAACTTAATGCTGATTTCAAAATATTAAATTAGTTTTTTTAATCCTAATATCAAAGCATTGAATTATTTTTTAATTTAATGCAAAAGTATTAATATTTTTTTAACAGTTATGCTAAATAATTACTCTCTAAAATTAGATTCAAGAGAATCTATCAACATTAATTAAAAGTTTTTTTATTAAAAGAATATAATGATTTTAGTTTACAAGAATATACTCAAGAATAATAGAAGATAATAAAAGAAATAAGGATATGGGGTTATAGGTATAGATTGAATATAATATTTTCATTAACACTGATCCTCCAATTTTGATTTGATTTCTTTCATCATTAAAGAAACGTTTTTTGAAATACGATGTTCAGCAAAGTATAACTATATCGATGTAAATAGTAGGTATCAAATTATACTGAATCTATTAATTCATATCGAAGATATCTCTAATCAGAAAATAAACTTATAAATGTTAGTATTTGTTTTTGGAAACCGAAGCATTTATTGATGTTTCTATCTATTTTATTTTTCTGGTAATGAATTTTTGTAAAGCTTACATATATTTTTCAAAGAAAACATATAAGTGCAAGTTATACGTCGTGAATTTTCAACTCCTACTGTCTTATCTTCCTGGTGACCATGATCAATGGACAATGAATGAATTTTCGTAGTTTCGAGAAGAGATAAGGTCAACAAGCGTCAGAGTACAAGTTTCTGTAGTAACGAGACGACGGTGGAATAAACAATAGGCTTGTAAAATAATGAAATGCGATAGATTTGAGTATATGATATATGTAAGATCCCCACTCTCATCCATACCTATTCATCGACATGTGACTACGCCAATCCTAGTTATTTTTAATATAATGATTTTTAAACTTTGTAAAACAAAAACAAACAATATTTTCGTTTTCGAAACATAAGAAATTAATGTAAAATAGAGAGCTCTCGTCTTTATTTGGCAAAATGTACAATAGCAAAGAGATCTCAATCATCAATTTGATAAACCTATTTTATCTGTTTTGTGAATCTTCTTTAATTCCATATTTTCAAATCGCAAAAATTTCATATCTAATGAAGTTGATCAGATTGAAACTATGCAAAAGTCATACGCACAAAAAGGAATTTATTTTGCAATCTTATCAAATATAGTTTAATATTATAATGAGAAAATATATTTGGCATAAGAACTAAACCTTACTCAACAATCTATTTTAAGCCTGTTAATTTTTTTCTTAACTTATTCTTTGATTTTTAAATAGAAATAAAAAAAGTCATCTTGTATATTTAAGATAAATATAGGCTGTAATAAAATAAGACAGAATCAAAGCATAAATCTAATCTCGATCATGTGAAAAAACTCGTTTTTGTGTTTTACGACAAAAATATTTTTAATCTACCTTTATCAAAATAAAACTTCTTAAAAAAAATTTGTATCAAATGCTTCGAATTTAGAGCTCTATAACTGCATGAAAAGGCATATTTTCAACTTTTGCGAATAATCGATTTCATCATGTATAAAACTATGTTTCTTTATACCATTATTTAATCTTACTAATAGTATATAAAATAATCGAGCTGTTTGTTGGGGTCGTAATCCCTTTGCCGACAAAATCTTTTCATGTCTCATCCTACTAAATCTAGTAGTTTCAAGGGTACACCGCGAGTAGCGAAATATTTTTAACAGATTTCAAGTTTTGTTGGCAAAGTGTAGCGAACTAATTTGTTGAATGATCAGTCATAAAATTCAACTTAAATAGATTAATGAACTCTGAAAAAACAATTCCATGAGTAGAAAAATTATGATCAATTGCTTTTTATTCGTTTCGATTCACACTCGGAAGTGACAGAAAAATAAATAACACGTGTCTTTTCTGCTTCTTACCTTTAACCACTGGCTTACGCAATAGTAAAAGAATATGAGTCACGCTTAGTTGGAACAAATAAAATCGGTTTTTACCAAATTTAATATGTATAAATCAGTAATAAAGTACAACTTAGAGTTGCATTTGTCTTTATAGCAATGGCAGAAGGACAGAATACGTTTCCCTTTTCCATCATCAGAAAAGTGGTAAATATACTGCTTCACAGATATACAAAACAATTTTTTAACCTGTATTTTTTTCTACATAGAATAACGAGATGGATGTCGCCAATAATCGTTCTCTCATTAGAAATCGTCCTTGTAAGTTATCTTTTATTAAAGTAATAGACTTATTCACTGTTGTATATGTATATATTATTCAAAATAGCTGCTGTTGCATGTCGAAATCAGGTTACTCGTATTGAATCTTTGAAGGACTATTTTATGCGTTGCTGTGGTATATGTCCGACGTTTTTCGAAGGATCTTTTATGGAAGCTTGTCAATCAGCATTTAACTCAGAAAATATGGAAAAAGTTCATTTAAATTTATTTTTATAAATGGATATATATATTAATGCTTTGATTTATCATATTTTAGTCTCGTCCATTACTAATATACATACATCATCAGGAAAGTACACGGAATTCTAAATTCTATGTGGAAATATTCTGTTCAAAGTTTCTTATTGATTATTTACGTGAAAATTACATTATTTGGCCATGTGATATTTCGTTTGAATCAAATAAAAAGATGTATGTAAACTAGTTTATTGATTTTGCTGATTTATTCTGAATAGATTGATCGAAGTTTCGAAAGAATTTTTTTCAAATGAATCTTTTGTTGATTTTTCCGCCGAGCAATGTCCAATGTTCATCGGTGTCATACGACAATCTTTAGACAAAAATAATACTCATAGAACATCTCAGTATAGATTTGAATTATTACTCCAATATGATAGTTTAATGCGTACTACCCAAAAGTTAAATCTTGAAACATTATTTGATGAACTGTTAAAATTCAAAGAAGAATTTGAAGAAAATGAGAAATATCTCGTAAGCTTTTATTATTCATTATTTTCATAATTTATTATTAATTTTATCTCAGTCATTCGACTTTCGTAGCAAGACTGGTCTTTGTTGGGAACTTATTCTCGAAGTAGCTAACTATCTTTCATTAAACGATGTTGTTACTGCATTTTCCTCTGATGTTCTTTGTTTATTATGGAGATACAACAAAAAACTGCCTATTATAGAACCTTCGGAAACATTTATGAGAACGATGATTCACACAATCATGCCTGAACAAATTGTATCGTTACGTATTAAAGCGGATCATCATAAATCAACGATAGAACTGGCTCCGCCAGCTACTTTCAATCATGTTAAGAAACTTACTCTTGTCAATTTTCAGAAAAATCAAATCATTGACTTTCAAAAATATTTTACAAGGCTTACTTGTCTTTCACTTTTTTATGAAGAACAAATGTGTTTTCATAGTTTTATGAAAATATTCAATTACCTCAACAGTCCAATAAAACAATTCGAAATACATTGTCGAAATGTACTTTGTTCTCATCGTCGTACAGATCTCATTTTCCAAAAATTAAATACTCTCAATTACACTATCGAACATTTGATACTTAATATAGAGCATATTTCCATGACAATAGTGAACAAATGTTTCCAATCCTATACCACATGTTTGTTAAAGACAATAATTGATTTTATAAAAATCATGACAAATATTCAATGTATTCATATTATTATTAATCAAGGCAGCATCGAAAAATTATTAGATATCAACGAATGGAAAAGTCTAGTAACGGGATGCCGTAAATTAAAAAAAGTGATATTACACGGTAAAAGAAATATGTCACAAGACGAAAAATTAAAACAACAAGCACTGGAAATTCAAAATCAAATGTCCAATGGAAAACGAAAAATTGATTTCGAAATAAAACTGAAATAATTTTTTGTATCCGTGAATAAATAGAACGAAAAAATGTAACCACTTTGAAAATCATGAAAGTTTAAAAAAGAAAAATAAAACGTCTAGCTTTTATTCGTCTTCCTCTTATTATACTCTTGAGACATATTAAATGTGATTATTTTCAAAGAAAAATCCTTGATACTTTTTTTCTATTATCGAAGTGATGATTCAGCACATACAAATGCTAACGAAGTAGGATATCGACGTGTGTGCTATATAAGATAATCTATACCATTTTGTATTAAAAAGCTCTCGTCAATATTTGAATATAATTTGCTATACGATATTTAATCAAATTAATCTCTTTCTTTTTCGATTTTATCTTAAAAAACAGAAACTCAAGATCTGCGAGTAAACTTTATCGATTATATTTGCTCATTTTTTTAATCAATAATAGGTATACGATAAAAATCAGAGCAAGCTAATTAGATCTCTAACTGTTAATAATTCAACTTTAGTTTGCTCGTCATATACTACATATCGTTATTTTCCACTGTAGTAAAATAAATATCAGTATCAAACGATACAACAATATCGGGTAAGATTTTTCTTCTGTATAGTTTTACTTCATGTGAATTTATTTCTTTTAACAACATCAACGTTCCAAACAACATATATGGTCATTCGTGATGAAATTAAGCTGACTGTCAATTTTTTCATCGTGTCGAAGGGTCACTTATTGAATCGAGCATAAATATACATTTATCATTGAAGCCTATACCGTAATACAGATGACTCACAATGTGAATAATGGCAAAGCATATATCGCTCAACCTCGTCGTGATCCCACTAAATACTTTTGAACCATCAACCACTTCGAACATTGAATCATTATGCTATAGGAAGAGTACTGTCACTGTTTCATACATTTTTTGATCATTCAATATGTGATAACTTTTAGTGCAGTATCGATTTCACTAGTAGTTTTATAATCTCTGTAAGTCATTTTCATCATCATTTTTTCTAATATAAAATAATAATTCAGTCAGAGGTACAATTACAATGTTTGAAGATATTTTCAATGGTTAATATTAAACTGAATAGTATCATCATTTCATGTGGATATAGTCATCTATTAAAACAATCTTTTATTTTTAGTAATTCGAATTAGAAGTATTTCGTAAAAGATTCGCATGAGAATAAATATAATTTTACTATAATATACCAGTAGTACTAGTCATCCATAAAAAACAGATTAGTTTCTTCAGAGGAACGAATTAAACATATTCATATATAAAAATATAACAAAATAAAAAAATGCTTTATATAAGCGATTTGAATTAATAAATGACAGAAAATATACAGGTTAATTTTGTTGGAATCTATATAATGAATAATACTGATAAATATCAAAATTTCAAAAAAAATACCTTTATTTATAGATTGATTAAATAATACTCCATAAGAACCATATCTTTAATCATAAATTATAAAAAGAATCAAAATAATTCTATATACGTATTGTTATAATAATATCAAACTTTATGCCAATGATTGTCACTATAATGAAAACAGTTGGTTTCAACATGTTGAATTCAATAAAAATATAATCTGACTAGCATTGATGCACTTCATAGTTTATTTTGAACTTATTCTCTGAAGTATATGGTTCCATTGCTGAAATAATTTCTGTTTTAAGTCTGTATTGTATATCTTCATATTTCGACTAATTTCCGTTAAATTTGTACTAGTTAGTTTTATGGTAAGATCATCAATAGAGTTAAAGTAAGTTATATGTGGCCATTGATAGAAATCAGAGAATTGTAACCAATAACGAATTGCTTTGCGATCGAATTCATTATTAGGATCAGGAATATCAGATCCTAGAACACCTGGTATAATCGAAGTATTACTTGGATGTTTATATACTGTATCCCATGTTCGTTGATCAATAACATGATGTGTATAATGCCATTCAGTAAGAAGATCAATTGATGGAAAAAAGAGTGGAATATTCATTCGATATTGTTCAAATAAACTCATAAGGGATACTTGATATGGAATATAAATAATTCCAGGATGACTAGCAATATCAGAATATTCATAACGTTCTTTATAGATATCTCGTAAATAACCAACAGTTATCGATGTATTTGAACGTTTCAATGAACTTTTTAAATTTCTCATAAATTGAAAACGAAATTTATCTACATACATAGTTGCAATAAGAAATGGTTTTTTAATAATTGGTGCATATGATACGTTTGTATAATCACATAAAGATGGTATAATAATTGGTGTAATACCAGTAAAATATCGTATATATTCAGCATCGTATAAATTGTTAGCAGCTACAATGTTACTAATTAATAAGAATAAAAAAACAGATACAATTTTTATAGATGAGTGCTCTCTTTTGTTAGTTATTTTAAGGCAAAATAAAAAATAGTTTTTAAGAATTTTTTTCTGGAACAATCTATTGAAAAGGTTTAGAATAATATTTATATTGGTACATCGTATACAATTGTTAATTCAATCTAATCGTATCATAAAAACTACAAAGAAGCTGATGAATTCTCAGAACAACAACAACTACGCCAGGAATATACATATTAGAAATGTTCGATTGTTTTTGAAAAGGAACAAATTTAATTCCTGGATCTGTACATAACACTTAGAGACAACATCTACCATTCTCATAATTTTAAACATATCTAAATATTTCTCGATTTCTAAATTTTCATCTAATGATATTAAGAATAAACAAACTCATGTTCTGACAATTGTAAGATCTCAGTCATATGTAGAAAACTGAGATAAAAAAATGTCTGTTTTAGATCATTATTATTGATCTTAATACATACCGAGGATTTAAAGCTATAAGTTGAAGATTTTTATTCCATTTAATCCATTCTTCCTTAGAAAATCGTCCCATTTCATAACGAGTTGATGCTATAATAATCAGTGGTCGATTAAAAGGCATAAATACTTCACACATTGCTGTCGGATGAAAACATATAAATGCATCAACTTGAGTCATTTCTGGATCATTTTTATATGCTTCATAGAACTTCTGTCGTTCTTCGATACTAGGAGATATGCCATTTGTTTTATCCAAAACTTTTAGATTTTTTGCACATGTTTTAGTTAAATGGCAATGATTTGATAAACTTTTATCGATCAATTCAACATCAAATGATAAAAGTTGACGCTTAATATCATGTATTGTACTATTAAATATACAAATAGAAATTAAAATAAGAGATATTAGAAAATATTCTGTGCCTAGAATTAAAATAGTTAAGATACTATCTTTGATACCTTATATGAAAGTCATTACTCCATATGGTAATATTATGTTGTGAAAGTTGTACTGTTTCTTTTAATAATCTTGTTGTCATAATCATTAGAAGAAAATTTCCGGTACAGAGAACCATGATGGTTAATTTTGCAATAGTTTTAAATCGACGATATGAAACACGTGACATTCTAATCGGAGCCATAATAAAATACTCGTTTGATATATGAATTAATAATTCTTTTACAAATAGAATAGTGTATTGTTTTATCTAAAAACACTTCGAAAACAGAAGATATATTCATATCATTTCATTACATGGAACTAACTTATAAAATATGTGTAAAATAAATGAGAAAAAAACATGGTTGATTGCAATCAAAATAAAACAAGAATGACGAAGAAACTTTTCAAACTAAGCGTTATATAACCTATGTGAAATATTATTCTACCATATTTGCTATCATGTGATTTATTTTTAGTTTTTGAATATTATAAGGTCTATTTCTCGAATAAAAAATTAATGCTAGACAACTAGCACTCTCATTATACCTAACATATATTGTGTCAAAACACAACAATTAGTTGAAATAAAGTTACCGTTAATGATAGATAATAAAAACTAACATTTCTGATGAAACACTATATAAAATCACTTACTCAAATGTTTTTGTCAAGTTAAGGCTCAGTAGTATGACTCTTTGCAATCGATGTATACTCTATTCAATCCTACTTTATCGAAACGACGATATACATTCGTTCGTTCTTTAACTATTACCATGTGTTATATTATTTATTGAACCATATCGAACATAGATGTACAGGTAACGAAGAAACATATAAGATGACTAATAATAGCCCACATACGAACGCAGAAATAAATGAAAGAGAGAAAGAAAAAAGTCAATCCATGCATAAGAAAAACTACGAAAAAAAAGTTGAACATCTATTGATAACTTTCACACATGTTCTATCACATTCATAATGTTTCGTAGACACCCATAATATATAACAATAAATGATCTCATGCTACTGATTATATTCACTTACAAAAGTATTTATATAATCATTCATTGTCTCTTTAATCATGTAATTGATACAATTTATTTTATATTGTTAAATTGTATTTCTTGATTGTTTCATATTAATTATTAAATAGTAGAATCTATTGGTATTGGTAAAAGAGGATACATAGAATAATTAAATCAGTTGAGTTCTCTGAAAAATTAATCTTATATTGTTGGTTAGAGAAATAATTGAATAGAGAAAATTTGAAATACAGTGAGAGCTTATTAAATTCATATATTCTCTTTATCTTTTGTAATTCCATTCTTTCATTCCATGTATTTTTGAATATATTATACGAAATAAGAAAATACGAACATATGTTTTATCTTCAACGTGTCTTCAAAATTGAATTATAGTACGGAAAATTTGATAATACTAAAATATATCTATCACCGTTGATTGAGATACAGATCGGTCGGAGACTGAAATTGTTATAAAATAAGTTAATAAAAGGATAATCGAATATTTCCATATGAGACAAGCGACTTATTATAATGACTAATCATCATATAAAAAAGATAAAATTGTGCTTATATCAATCCAAAGATAGTTATATGACTTAATATATTAATCTATATTAGATATTTCTGTTATTATAGAAAATCTTGCATTATTTACCTGCTTCTCATTTCCTATATTTAAGTTTCAATGCAAATATATGTATATAAATTCTAAGTTAAATAGTAAATGCTGATCTTTTATCGTTCAAAATAATGGATATTGTTAAAATATTATTCGGATGTCGAAACTTGGTTTCTGTGTTAATTTATATAGCAATTTAAAAAGATAAAAGTAAAAGTATAAGAAAAATTTTACAAATCATCGTTGTTTTTTAGATCTATATTGATCGAACTGAGCTTGACGAGAAAAGAAGGTTATGATCTTGAAACATTGATATCTAAATGTATTCTTCATCATAGGGAGCATAGTGTTTACAATTTCGATTATGTCGATGATTTCCATCTTGTCGTATTGGTTGAAAATCAGCTAAACATGACCAACAAAATTCATGATGGCATTTAATGCATTTTATATGATCACAACCATCACTTTTTTCTATCTGATATGGACATTTTGGACATTTTTTCGAATTTTCAACAATCCATCGTCGACTAGATTCATCATTCAAATCAACATTTTTATCATATTCTTCACAAGTTAATCCTTCATGCCATTTTACTTTATGCGTAAAACATGTCTTTCGATGACAATTAAAACAAGTAACTATATTAATCATTGCACCAAGTTCATTTACTTGTCCAACATTACATAAAGGGTTTGAGCACCATATAAAATCATCCATTTGTTCTAATTGTCGATTCAATATATATCGATCATATCTATCAATAAGGTTTTGATCACGATTTGATAAAAAAATATTTCTTACAATATCATAATCAAGTTTAACATGACAATCAGGTTCAGGACAATAAATATCATCAGTAAATGTTACTTGAAACGTTTTTTGAACATGATTAAAAAGACAAGATTTACATATCGATCGAACTGGATGTTGACAAGCATTAGCAAATGAATAAGTATAGTTATTTAAATCTTTATCATCATAACATATCAAACAAGTTTGTTGTTCGAAAGGAAATGATGATGATCTATTAATAAAATAGAAATATTTATAATAATCAGTCAATGTATTAATCAACAACAAGGTCTAATGTTATTTGATAATACTCTTAGTTTTGAAATGAAAGATTAAACAGCAATTCTGATGGACATATATATATCTACGAATTTTCTTATGTGAATTTTAATATTGATCAATTTTGTTTATAATCTTAAATATAGAGCAGTGATCTTTTTTACCAATATTTACAAATCAATATTTCAACAAAAAATACGATTTACGGCGAATATGATGTGGAAGTACGTTTGAGAGTTAGCACAAGAAAATTAGATATAGTATTTCAAATACAGATATTATTATACTTTCATCTCACCTGAAATTGACTGGAATAGTACGTGTTGAATGCAATGATCTTTCACTTAATTTTATACCTGGTAAAAAGTCAATACCAATGCAAAAACGTAAAACCCCATATTGATTAAGTGTTTTTCGACTCTGTAATGTATCCCAATGAATAATAATGTAAAGAATTATGCTTGATATCATAATACATGTATTAACTTTCAAGAAAGTAAAAATTCCTGCATTATAAGAGATACCAACATCGTCAGCGATAGATTTTGATCGAAATATAGAAAAAAGAAATAAATAAATAATAAATGCTCCTATAATCCAACGAATAATTAATATTAAATGAATGATTTTTAAGAGAAAATGTTCGATGGTATTTGTAAATTTAAGAATAATCCAATTAAGAAACTTTCCAGAAGATGTAAATTGAAATTGTTGTCGAATATGTTTATTCCATTTCATTAAATTGATCCAGAAGAGTTCATTATAAAATAGATCATTTAATTGAAATATCAAAATACCCAAGATTATTTTTTGTCCAGTTCGAAATATATATTCACTTGAATATCGAATAAGACTAATACTAATCAAAATAAACAGTGATAAATCAAAGATAACTAAAACTTGTCTTTTCTGTTTACAATTACATCGTCGACGAACAAAATCCATATTAATTATCAAACGAATCCATGCAAAAATTAAAGAAAGATATATTATCTTTGTTGATTTTAAATTCGTTGTAATGGAATTTTCCTCATAAGTATAACATGTTTTATAATGATAAATATAAAGTAAATGCATTAAATCAATTAAAGGTAGTATTAATTCGAAGAATTTTAAAAATGTCATATAAATTATAAATACACCATAATCATTGACTATTATCAATAATACATTTAATAAAACAAGTAATATTGATACTATAAGAATAATATTGATCAACGTTGATGATGATTGAATACATTCTAATAGTATTATTTTTGGATGTGTGTTTAATATGAATTCGAATATAATAGTACTGAATAAACTTAATATTAAAAATACAATGATAATTACGCGTTTAATTACCATTTGATATGATTATAAATTAATTTTATAAAATCTTTCAATATTTATGTTAGGATCTATTAGTCGAAATAATTATTGATTTGTCAAAATGTACCCACACTCGATCGTTTAAAACAATGAAAAATTTTCTTTTCTTTTGCGGAGAAAATAAAGAGAATATGTATATACGAAATGTATCACATGGTAAGCTTATTTGGAAATTACCAACTATGAATTAAATATGTTTTTTTTTCTTATGAGAATTAAGAAAAACAAATGGCTTATTTTACATATATTACGCACGTTTCTTCATCTCACCTTTTCTATCGTCATATATAAAGGTAACCACAGCAGCTATGCTGGCAAAAACATTGTAAATGTCCACGTGACGACTAAACAAGAGGAAGAAAAGAACATACTAATATTTTATTTTATTAATGTAGACATTATCGAACATGTGCAGGTATATACATATATATATATTGTAATCATCCTTATGATGATGTTAAAACATTTCCCTTTCATTCTTCTATCGCATATCTATATGGATCTTTCCTTACCTCTCATACATGTATCGAATTATTCCTTGTTGTGAGTCAATATATATATATATATGTATATATGCGCACATGTATATGCGTCGATTCTTTTTGTCCTCTCTACCTCTGTTATTGTTTTCGTTGTTTTTTAACAATTAATGCTGAACTCGTGTTTATATTCACTTGTTTCATATACGCTTTAATATATGTTGTACTATAATATAGACACTAATTGGTTTTCATTAGTAAATATGTATCAATTATCGTCAATAATCAAAAATTTTATTTAGATCTTATAATATGGTACGCATCAAAGCTGCAACATATGGATTAATGTGATGATCTGACATTCACAGGTATATTCAACTAATTGATTTCATCTACGATTTTTCTTTTAAGACTCCTCTTTTTATACATATATAAACGAGCAAAACGAATATTTGTACGAGTCTTACTATCAAAGGTTAACATGAAGTAAATGGATAATATACCTTTTGATTTTGTTTATGTCCATGTGCGTATGTAAGTGATTGAGATAGAAATAAGAATCATATTTCAAATTATATGATTTTATGAGTTTATAGAATTGATGGAATTCGAAATAGCTTTAATTTATCAAGAAAATCAATACCTGACAGAGTTTAAGATATTTTTGACTTAGAATTTTGATTTTCTTAATCTTTATTATCTTATAACTTTGACATAGATCATCAAAAATCGTATAGATATTTGTAATAATATGCTAACGAAGCGATAAGACATCTATCATCTTCTGAAGTAATTTCTTTTTTCTCAGAAAAAATATTGTGCAGCTAAAAGACTGTATCTCAGTTGCATGAAAAATAATTTTTGTTTATAGAAATTTATAGATCATTCAATGTTTATTGATTTATTTATATTTATATAAGTAATGGGGAATTTTGCGTGCCAATAAATGGTCGATAAGTTTTTTTTCTTCACTAGGAAGAAAAAGAAAAAGAAAAAATAACTTTATATTTGATAAGAGAAAGAATTTTTTTTTCTTCATTCCTTTAACAAACATTTTTATTGTGACAAGACGCTCTTTTTAGTTTTAGAAATTTTCAGCGAATAAAATGAGTGAAAATAATAATGAAAAAAATTTAAAACAATGTTTGAAAATAATTATCAATGCTGTTTCTGTTCAAACTACTGTGTCCAATTATAATTTAAATAATACAATACAACAAATATTAGATGAAAATTTATCATCTTTATCTTTTCAATGTCGAAATTACCTTTTAAATGTTTTAAATGAATTTAATACTAATGATCCTAATATAACATTAATAAATGATTTTTTACATAATCTTAATGGTAGATTATCATTACTTGATGCATCTCAAGGTGCATGGGATGGAAATATATCAGTTGTAAAAAATTTTATTGAAAAATATCCAACATTAAGAGATAAATCTGGTCTTTATGGAACAACTCTTTTATATTCAGCAGCTAGAAATAATCATTTTCATTTAGTTAAATATCTTATTGAAAAATGTAGATGTTCAGTAAATGCAAAAAATGAAGAATATCTTGAAAAGAATCAACAACCAATATTAAAAGCAACAATAGGTTCGACAGCATTGCATGCAGCCTGTTTTAATGGACGATTAGAAATTGTAAAATATCTAATTCAACATGGTGGAGATTATTTTATATTAAATTCTGTATATGAATCACCAATTGAAAATGGACAATCACAATCAAGTATTCGAAATTTTTTTTCAGAATTTCTTATTATTGATTATACAAAACAATCGAATATTATTCCAACACGAACAATTCTTTATGAAATTGAAAAAACTAAAGAACCAATTAATGATTGTATATGGGAATTTAAACCATTGTCTAGTGATCAATGGCTTCCATGTCCACAAAATCAATCTATTCAACTTCAACAGACATTCTTAGATAAACCATTTAAAACTGATATTCACTTAAAAACATCTAGAGATACTTATCATATTTCATTGATTAAATTTTTACGTTCAAGTAAATCGAGTAATCAAATAGAAAATCTTTCTTGGATTCGTTGTAGAGGTTCATCTCTACGTAATTTTCATTGTTATTCACAATGGCAAATTATGTTCGTACAATGTCCAACAGGTGTAACAAATTCATCATCACTATTGCAAATATATGATATGAAACCAAAAAGTTCAGTACAACTTAATTCATGGTACAATCTCTATGATGAAATGAATTTTTTATTTGAAACAGCAATGAATTATCGACGTAGATATATTAATATTAATTTAAATTTTATTCATAATGAGAAAGTAACATTTGATCTTGATAATTTTTCATTTATGAATGAACAAAAGACAATTGAAGGATTTCTAAGATGGATACCAAAAATTATACCAGATGATGGTACTACTAGTTTAAGAACTCTTGATAATTTTCAATTACCAACTAATTGTGAAGTTGCATTACTCACAACAACATATTTAAAACAAATCGAACTTCATGCAAATGATTTAACAGATGAGATTAATCAATATAATTTGAAATATGAAAATGCATTTGATAATGATACCTTAGATTTTCAAGATAAAAAGGTAAGAATTTATCTCTAGCGATAGATCGAAAGAAACCAGTCATTCTATTCCGCAATGAATTATTTGAATAAAAATCTACTTTATTCTAGCCTGTGACAACAGCAAACGATGTGAATGAATCTTTGAATGTTATTCAAAATGATTTGCTAGCAATCGAAGTAAGTTTAGGTGTTCAAGAATAACGAACTGTTATACATTAAAATATGTTTAGAGTGATGTTATTGTAGTATGTACTTCATCTAAATATTTATTCGACAGTGTTTTTAGAGCAGGTGGAAAATCTCTACAAAAATCTTGGGATAAGAAACTAAAAGAAAATAATAAAGCACCTGTTATTAGTATATCTACTGATGGTAAACTTACATCGAAAGCAGTTTATTTTGTTCCATGGGAACCTAGACCAGAGCCTGATTTACTTTGTCGATCAATTGAAAAATTAGTTTCAAATGTAATAAATACAGCCATAAATGAAAATTATAAAAGTATTGCATTTCCTGCTATTGGATGCGGAGAATATGGATGTTCAGTTAGTCTCATTGCTCAAGCATTTATTAGTGAAGTTCAACGACAACTAGTTAAATATCCATTAAAAATTTTATTTGTTATTCAACCGAATAAAATGGATATATATAATGAATTTCGGAAACAAATTGAACCATTCAAACAACAAGAACGAACTTCAATAACAGTTGGAAAAGGAACAATTCAAGCTGAAAAGGGAGATATTACAAGTCAAAAAGTAATGAATTTAATTAATATATACATTATTGATTTCTCTTTTTTTGTTTGTTTTCATGGAAAAGGTTGATGTTATTATAGGAAGTTTATCATCAGAAAATTTACGACAAAGCTTATTAATTGCTGGAGGACGTGAAGTTCAGGCTGCTTATGAAAAAGAATATGAAAATAATCCAAATTCATTAATTATATCAATACCACCTGGTGAATTACCTTGTAAAAGATTATTTTTTCTTCGATGGGAACCAGATGAAGATCCTGATATTCTTCGACAATCAATAAGTGATTTAATTTGGAATCTTATTCAAAATGTAAATTCTCATAATTTTAATTCAATTGCTTTTCCAGCTATTGGATGTGGTGAACATGCTTGTTCAGTTGATATTGTTGTTAAAACAATGGTTAAAGAAATGAAACAACAAATTATGCAAAGAAAATTAGCATGGACTGTTAAATTTATTATTCAACCTAATCAACAGAATATTTATGATGAATTTCGTCGGCAATTATTATTATTATCACCACCAGATGAAAGTATAAAATATTATTCTAGTATATTCAATAATATTGTTTTTTCTCCTTCTTCTTCTTCTTCTTTATAGATAATCAAGAAGCAAGAGATTATGAATTTCCTTCAACATGGCAAAATTCAAAACAAAATCAAATAAAACTTCTTGTACCAAAAAATACTGATGAATTTAAATCAATTGCTATCAATTTTGATACAGCAATGAAAGGAAATTATACAGAAATTGTAAAAATTGAACGAATTCAAAATGAACGATGGTATATGCAATATTTAGCACATTGCAAAGATTTTAAAAAAAGACTTTCTCAAGATACAGAAAAACGATTATATCATGGTTGCCCTCAAGTAGCTGCAAATTCGATTATGGATGATTGTTTTAATAGAAGTTTTGCTGGTGTTAATGGTATTGCATATGGTATGGGTGTTTATTTTTCATCGAATGCAGTTTATAGTCATGGATTTACACGACCAAATGCAGATGGTGAACGATGTATGTTTATTGCTCGTGTTCTTGTTGGAAAGACAACTATAGGAAAAAGTTCAATGAAAACTCGACCTGTTGGATTTGATTCAACAACAGATGGAAAACATATATTTGTTACATATCATGATGCTCAAGCATATGCTGAATATTTAATTACATACAAATAGAAACATTATACGTTGATTTTATATTAATCAAAATCTTCTCATTACATTTTTTTTAACTATTAATAAATTTTATTTTTTTTCTTCATTGAAATGATAAAACGACATGACAATATTTGTATAGACGACTGTTACTTTGCAGTCCTGTTTTTAGTAAATATTCAAGATAAGAAAGAACAAAAAATGCACATATAAGTAACTCTGTTTACTAGAAGAGACTATAAGAAAATGTTATTTATTATTATTATATGCACAGTATTCTTTCATTATATAATAGCAAGAAAATGTCCTGGTCAAGCATATTCAACACCATTTAATTCTTCTTCA